GCTGTCCCTCAGCTCTTCAGCTCAAGGCGAGCGCTCTACCACTTGAGCTACAGCGCCACTTCCGGTTTTCTGATGGTTTATTGGAGATAGGAGTCTCACGGTCTCTCCTGCCTGGGCTGGCTTTGAACCGCGATCCTCAGATCTCAGCCTCCTGAGTAGCTAGGATTACAGGCGTGAGCCACCAGCGCCCGGCTTAGCAAGTTGCTTTCTGTAGACTTACTAGTGAGAATGGAGGCCAAGAAGTGTATTGACGTTTCAAGGTCCTTTTTTTTTTTTTGGTGCATGCATTTATTTGTCCATTTAGTAAAACTGTGGTTAGTGTCCACTGTGTGCTGAGATGCTTCTGTGTGCATAGCTGCCCAATGGCAGTGCACTGTCTACAGGAAGCAGGTGGCAAATAATTTCCCCAAGTATAGTGTGTGTGTGTGTGTGTGTGTGTTTATGTATGTACAGGTGTGTGTGTGTGTGTGTTTATGTATGTACAGGTGTGTTTGTGTGTGTGTGTGTGTTTATGTACAGGTGTGTTTGTGTGTGTGTGTGTGTGTGTGTGTTTATGTACAGGTGTGTTTGTGTGTGTATATTTTCGTTTGTGTGTAGGTATGTATGTAATTATAGGAGAGTCTGAGACATGTGTGTATGAGGAGAGTGGAAGGAACAAAGAGGAATATCTTTTGAAAAGCAGTTCATTTGTAAGAGGGCCATAAGTGGATACCATATATTATGCTGACCATGTGGCCATCCTGTAAGCTTTCTCATTTAAACGAAACCACAAGGTTTAGAATCTATATTAAACTTCATTTATAATATTATAAAAGAAAATAGATCCATAAAATGTTATGAAACTGCCATTTTTTGCTGAAAACTGTGTAGTGAATGAAGTTTTTGGTTAATTGGTCCCCACATTATTGAAATTTTATTCAGCATAAAAATCTGGCTTATATGATGAAAGGGACTGCCTGTTGGCTGCCCCTTTTTAGTTGCATTGGAGATACAATTATGTTAATGTTGCATTAACCTACACCTTTTAAACACATTTTTATGCAGTCTCTAGAGCTGCTGAGCCCTGAGTGCCACTGTGTAAAGATAAATGCTAACTCTTATTTGGCTCTGACATTATTGTTTATGTGGGAATCCGAGTCTTCAGCTATATTAGCTGCTGAAAAACTTAACTGCTCAGCTTTGACACCAGGTTTCTCAAGACCATGTCATTTGATTCTCTGGGCTACATAGAACACTGGCACATAATTGTTAGTCTGACTTCTAAGATGGTATAAAGATCAGTGACTTGAAATAAAGTAGCAGAGTACATCTGGGTACTGTAGAGGTTGTATCTGAAAGCTAGGAGAAACTATTGCCTTATATTTAGTCTGTATATTTAAGTGACAAATCAGGCTGCCTTTCCCTTCTGGTTTGATTACCAGCATGGTTAAGCTAATTATGTTACAGCCAGGACTGCGTTCACCCGGCATGCTAATGAGATCATCCAAAAGCATGGAACGAATTAGAAGTAAAAAGGAACAGCTGCTATAGTGACCAAGAAATTAGGCCTTTGGAGTCTGTTTACTTTAGAGTCCAGCATTATAAATTGAATGTCAGAAAGATAAAGTAGGTATCCAGTAGCCAAAAAAGTTCTTAACTTCCCAACTTCCGCTGGGTTCTAATGGATTATGCCTGTAATCCTAGCCACTCAGGAGGATGAGATCAAAGCCAGTCTGGATGGGAAGGTCTCTAACCACCAGCTCCCCCCCTAATAATCTTTCAAAATTTCTCTTATTTACAAATGAGAAAATAATATCACTAAACTTTTGCCTGAGTGATATTTCGCATATTCCTAAGAGTGAACAGGAATAGTCAACCCAGGCACATGTGCAAGGCAGAGCGCTAGGCTGTATCATGGTCGTGAAGGCCAGTGACACTCAGTTCAAAACACTCCTTTTGTACATGAGGCTTTTAAAAAATATTCATGTACATTGTTTCTTGCCTTCATTTTAGCTGTGAGATTCATTGATGAGCTTTATATGAGCTTTTTAAATGTCAAATTGACATAAATGTTATAATCATAATGGTGAGGAAAAGGGAAGACTTGGTGAGAGCACCTGCTTCATTTGAGGTGTTCTGTGTTTATATAATAAATGAATGTGTAGACTGTTGCTTAAACAAACCAGGTCATGGACTTTACCATTATGTCTGGTGACTGTTCAGTAAAGCACGCCTGTCCCACAGACTGGATGCCAAATGTCTGTCAGAAAACGTTCATGGTCTGTAGAGGCACCAATATGAGGAGAGAAGTGCTTGTCTGTCCATCCACTGAGATTTGCAGATGCTAGAGGTCAGCCAAGCCCCTCCATAGTGAACTCTATGTGGTCTGGTGCCTGTAACTCCCAGCATGCCTTGCAGGTGGCATTGGATGCAGCCTTGCTGTGAAGTTTTCAGGAGAGTTAATCAACAAAAACCGATTAGATTGATAAAGTCTTCAGTAAATGTAAAGGTGTTTTTTTTCCTGCTTTCCTTGCATTTAGAAATGGGGAGGTGATAGGACAAACTACAAATTATCATGCAGTATAATCTTTAGCCTAATGAGAATTTTTTTTTCTTGAACAGTGGTGGAATGTTGTTACCGGAGAATCCTCTCAGACCTTCTACACAAATGGAACTAATCTTAAGAAAATACATGTGTCCCCTGACTTCAAAACATACGTGACTGTTGATAATCTTGGGATTTTATATATTTTACAGATTTTAGAGTAAAATGATTAGGCATTAATATAGTTGACTTCCTTAATGTTGAATTGGAAAAAAATAATGAAACTGTATATCAACTTTTTAAAAACTGTGAATTATTTTCCAGTATTGCATTCATTACAAGTGTTTATGGTTGGGTGAGTACTATTAATGTAGCTTTTCCCCAAGTGGACAGACCTTTAATCTTGGTTTTTATATTCATCATCTTCATTAACTACTTGTCCTTAAGATGCAAATGAAAATGTAAATATGGACCTTGTTATACTGTTGGTAAATTTTCTTGATGCATTCAAATTGGTTGACATAATTAGAATAAGTCGAAGGGAATCTATATTTTATATCATTGTGTAGGCCGTGCTCGAGGGAACAGTGTTACCCCAATATAAGATAATGCTAGTTCTCCCAAATACAATCTTGGAGCTTATTTGTACTCCTTAAATTTTTCTGAAACTGTTAAAGTCTGGGTACACAGCCTTCAATATTTCCTTTAATTAACTCAGTAAGTGAACATTGGATTTTAGCAGCTCTTTCTATGAAGCCAAAATTATGTGTACAGAGGCTTCCCTGGAGTTCCTGGCAGCCCTGTGCCATAACTAGATTTTAGTTGTCAGTACCTGAGTTGGGCACTATTCTCCTCTATCCTTCCTTCCTTCCTTCCTTCCTTCCTTCCTTCCTTCCTTCCTTCCTTCCTCCCTCTCTCCCTTCCTCCCTCCCTCCCTCTCTCTCCCTTTGTCCTTCTCTCCCTCCCTCCCTTTTCTTTCTCACTCTCTTTCTTGGGCTGGTACTAGAGCTTGAACTCAGGGCCTGGGTGCTACTCCTTAACTTTTTCACTCAAGACTAGTGTTCTGCTACTTGAGCCACAGCTTCATGTCTGCTTTTTGGTGGTTAGAGATAGGGGGCTCATAGACTTTCCTGTTTGGGCTGGCTTTGAACCATCATTCTCAGATCTTGGCTTACTGAGTAGCTAGGCTCACAGGTGTGAGCCATGGAGCCTGGCTGATTGTTTGCTTCTTAGTCAGCTGAACTTAATTTTTCTTCATCCTCACTTTTTCCTTTTTAACTTTTTTTTTAACTACTTGAGCTACATTCTTAGTCCTTTTTGTTTTTCTTTCTTTTTTGTTTATTTGTTTCAGTTTTGATTTTTGCTGGTCCTGGGGCTTGAATTTAGAGCGGGCGCTGTCCCTGAGCCTCTCTTGTGCTCAAGGCTAGTGCTCTTATCACTCAAGCCACAGCATCACTTCCAACTTTTTCTGAGTAGTTTATTGGGTAAGAGTCTTTCCTGCCTGGGCTAGGAGCAGCAATCCTCAGACCTCAGCTTCCTGAGTAGCTAGTACTATAGGCGTGAGCCACCTGTATCTGTCTGTTTTTAGTATTTTATTTTATTTTTTTGTTGGTCATGGAGCTTGAACCCAGGGCCTGGGCGCTGTCCCTGCGCTCTTTTGCTCAAGGCTAGTGCTTTACCACTTTGAGCCACAGTACCTCTTCCGTTTTTAGTGGTTAATTGAAGATGAGTCTCAGGATGACTTTCTGGCTAGGCTGGCCTCAAACTGTAACCCTCAGATCTTAGCCGCTTGAGTAGCTAGGATTACAGCCACCAACACCCGGCTAGTTTGTTTTTAAGATGATGAGTTTTATCTGGCCTCAAAATGTCAATTCTCCTGTCTCCATTTCCTAAGTAGCTGTGATTACAGGCATGAGTCACTGTTCCTGACTTTTTTTTTTTTTTAATGGAGCAGTCACTCCATAGTTAAATGTTAGTCAGAATAATTGGGAAGGGTCAATTTTAATCATACATCTTAATAATGACTTTCTAAGAAATGTGAAATGGTAAAACATTGTTCCCTTCTAATTCCATTTACTTTTTGGTAAATGTTATTGTCAGTGTTGTTCTCTTAGTGAATTTCAAGAGAATTCTCTTTTTTTTTTGTGCAGTTCCAGAAGTCATTGTGACTCTGGGAGATGTTAACTTTAATCTTCTGAACAATCTGTTTTGTTCCGCGCCCTGTCTTTGTTCACTTCCCTCTTTTTCTGTGTCCTTTTTCCTCTTCTACCTCTTCCCTTCAGGGTTAATTAGGAATGATAACTTTTTTTTTCTTGGAAATGCGGTCTTACTGTATTACCTAGGTTGGCCTTGAACTTTGACCCTCATGTCTCAGACTGCCACATTGCTGGGCAAGATGGCTTCGGCAAAGAAAAAGCTCAGCAGTATCATCACCAGTTATTTTTTCATTTCCTGATTAGGAACTTTAATTGAAGTTTAAATTTAGATATTTTTCTGAAATGTTAAGGATACTAGAGATAAATGAATAATATATGTGGTTTTCATATAAAATCAAGATGCAGAGATTCTTGTTTCTGCAATAAGAACTAATAAATAAGTATTAGTATTAATAGTAGATAAGCAGTGACCCCATTTCTGTTGTTGGTGCACATTAGTAGATTCAGTGGGAATCAACCACTAAAATGTAGTTTAGCTATTTCTGTGTAGCAGCAACTGGGAATGCAGTGAGTAAGATCTTTCATATTGTTAAGAAAGTGTTTTGTTTTTGTTTTGATAGGTTGAGGAACTAATTTACAGGCTGTGATTTATTCACATGTGATCATGGAAATCTTAATTTTATACAAATATTTCTATTTTTTTTTTTTTTTTTTTTGTCGGTCGTGGGGCTTGAACTCTGGGCCTGGGCGCTGTCCCTCAGCTCTTCAGCTCAAGGCTAACACTCTACCACTTGAGCCACAGCGCCACTTCCGGCTTTTTCTGTTTATGCGGTGCTGAGGAATTGAAACCAGGGCCTCATGCATACAAGCCAATTACTCTACCACTGAGCCACCTTCCCAGCCCCTACAAACAGATTTCTGTAAAAACTGCTTCACTCAGCTAGCCAAGTCAAAAATCTTGTTTTCCTTTAGTGTTTAGGGTTCATCTACTCGATCACTCAGAATAAAAGCATTGACTTTTGGAATTAAAAACCACCTGACTGGTAAAATAGCAACAGACATCATCTTTTAAAAAGTCTTGGGTGGGCTTTGTCTTAAAAGAAAAGTAATAATGATGAGGCAGCCCAAGGAAAGAAGACACATCACCGGACTGATGGAGGGAGCATTGCTTGTAGCTTGCAGGTGAACTGCTGTTGCTGCTTCCCCCCGCCCTTCTTTCCTGAGACAAAGTCTTGATTTGTTTCCCAGGCTGGCTTTGAACTCATGATCCTCATGCTTCAACCTCATAAATGTGGAGATTACATGTGCGTGCCATCACACCTGATACCAATGAGCTTTGTAAAGCATTTTCTCTACTTTCTTTTTTGTATGAGAAATTACATTGGACCTTGTATATGTAAAGATGCTTTTTCATTGTATGTGTCGTGTATGTTTTGAAAATCGTTAGTTTTGTATTTATAATGTAACATGATTTTATTTACCTTGAAATACATTTTAAAACATGAATTTTAAAAAATTTATAAAAATAAAATTCCCAGATATTTGTAAGCAACATTTTTGGATTGTTTCACATTCTTTGCTTGTCTTTTGTTTTTTAAAAGCCTGATGAGAAGGATTCAAGCTAAATCCACCAACATTTCCATCTAGGTTTTTGTTTTATTTTTTTTTCCAGTCATGGGGCTAGAACTCAGGGCCTGGGCACTGTGCCTGAGCTTCTTTTGCTCAAGGCTAGCACTCTACCACTTGAGGCGCCACTTTGGGTTTTTCTGTTATGTGGTACTGAGGAATTGAACCCAGGGCTCAATGCATGCTAGGCAAGCACTCTACCACTAAATCACCTTCCCAGTCTCCCTTTACTCAAGGCTAGCTCTCTGCCACTTGAGCCACAGTGCCACTTCTGGCCTTTTCTGAGTAGCTTATTGGAGATAAGAGTCTCACGGACCTTCCTGCCTGGGCTGGCTTCCATCCGAGATCCTCAGATCTCAGCCTCCTGAGAAGGATTACAAGCATCAGCCACCAGTGCCCGGTTCTGTCTAGGTTTTGTCAGCGGTATGTAGATCAGTTGAAATTCTTCATGTGTTTCATTGTATGCCTGTGACGGTTGCCACCTTCTGAGGCTGGCATGGGGAAGATCCAGTAAAAATAGAATTTACTTATTCATTCATTCTCATTGTTTATTCAATAAACATGGAGATCTAGTGTGGACTTGGCCTTGGTGTAGATCAGGGGGATACAGGAGTTAGCAGAACAAAGATAATTCTCTACACTGCTACAGTTGGGGGCCTGGGACAAGAAGAGGACAGTCTTTGGTGAATTGGGTGGTGTAAAGGATCCGGTTTTCAGGGAGGTTGAGATGATGTGCTTAGTCTTTGAGACCCTTGGAGGCTGCGGGAGTTGTGGTTCGAGTGGGCCCTTTTCCAGTTTGTTCTTGCAGCAGACCTGGCATCATCCATGCAGTGCTGGTTTTTGAAGCAGGCAGAATGTAAGAGTTACAGGAATATGGAGCTGCTACCGAGATGCCAAGGGAAAGCCTGGGACTCCAGCGTGGGAGTCTCTGTAGGTAGCCCCTACAGGAAGATGTGTGAACCTGCGAAAGTGAACCTGGAGCTGCGGTAGAAATCCTGGGAAGCTAGAGATGCCAGAATGAGGAATGCCTGTGGAGGGAACCTTCAGGAAGCGAGCAGAGCTAGCCCAAGCCCTTTGGAGCTCACATGTCTCAGGTGCTGGGCAGGGCTTCTGAAGGCTTAATGTTTGCTCTATTGGGTTTTAGTCTCGTGTTGATCCAGTCCTTTCTGTTTCTATTCTTCCCTTTTGGAATGGAAATGTTTACTGTATGCCATTGTATCTTGGAAGTATGTAAGGTATGCTTTTTTATTGTTACCGTCAAATAATTGTACAGGGTGGTTGGTTCAAGTTTTTAATTAAAATTTTTGTATTATTATAAAGGTGATATAGAGAGACGTTTCCTGTTCATAATGAGTGCGTTTCTTTTTGGACAATGTAAGGGGCTTCAGTTTAACACGTCCGTTTATGTGTACAAGGCATCAACCCTTCCACCATTCTCCCATCCCTATTCTTTTCCATTCCAGTGTCATCATGTTTTCTCATTCCATTTTCACTGGATCATAGCGTAGTTCTGCTTTTAATTTTTTGACTTCCATAGTGACTGCACTTATCAACAGTACATTAGGATTTCTTTTCCCCCTCCATCCTCACCAGTATTTATTTTGTTTGTGTTCTTGATGATGGCCATTCTGACTGCATGTATGTGTGTGTGCAAGAACACACACACACACACACACACACACACACACAGCCCTGAATAGCCAAAGCAACCCAAACAAAACAAGCAGTGTTGGCTGTCTCCCAATTCCAGATATCAAGCTATATACTACTGAGTCATAGTCTCAAAACCAGCTTGGTCTCTGACACAAAAATAGACCCGAAGGCTAATGGGACTCACTAGAAGAGTCATCTGAGTTTTGGCAAGAGTCAAAAAATATATTGGAAAAAAGATAAACTTTTCAACAAAAGGTGTTGGGAAAATGAAGTCCAGGGGCTGGGAAGGTGGCTCAGTGGTAGAGCACTTGCCTTGC